TGAGGTCAGGTCACTGTGCCCATGTGGTGACCACTATTTAGAGGAGATTCCTGTCTCATAGCTGAGTGTGATGGAGGCCTGTCTGTGATCTCAGCATTCAGGAGGCTGAGGCAGGAGGATCATAAATTTGAAGCCAGCCTGGGCTTCTTGAGACTCAAAACAGCCATGAAGAACTGAAATGTAAAAGCAGGAAAGAATCTGTTACTTTCCACTTTCTGTAAGTGACTCCAGCAGATGGAAATATGAGTGCTTGCGCAGTCTCCCTTCCCAGAAAAATCACTGGCTCCTTCTACTCCCCTTCTACTCTCAAAAACACCCTGAATGGGCGGACTCAATAGCTAAAGGCACTTGCCACCCAAGCTGGAAGACTTCATTTCAGTCTCAAATAGTAGAAGGAGAGAACCCACTCCCACAAGTTGTCCTCTGACTTCCAAACAGGTGTGGTGTTTGTTCACAGGCATGTAAGTTCACACATTGCATTAGTGATAAGAAAAATAAGTAAACAGATAAATTAAAGAATAGCTACTGAGCCAGGTTAGGTTAAGGTATATTTTGCTACAACAAACGTTTTTGTAGTTTCTGAGATAGGGTTGTCCTCTGTAGGCCTGGAACTACCCCAAGCAATGGGGGATTCTAGGCAGGGTTCCACCTCTGGCCATGCCCATCCTCTCCCTGGGGGATTCTAACTGGAGCTCAATCCCTACACAACCTCCATCTCCTCCCTGGGGGCTTCTAGGTGGGGCTCCACCCCTGACCACACCCCTAGCCCTCTTTTTTTACTTCTTATTTTGAGACTAGGTCTGGGTATGTTGCCCGGGCTGCTCTGGAACTTTCAATTCTCCTGCCTGTCTTCCAAGTAGCTGGAATTACAAAACCGACACCTAGGCTCAGTTTCAAATATTTTGGTAGACTGGAAAACAGTCCAGTCCGTGGAGTCTTACCTCATTAATGCCGAGACAGCTCACCCTCAGGAACTCTGTCAGTCTTGAGTCACCATCATGATAGGAGGAAAGGAAAGCTGAGTTATCTAATGCCGAAAGACAGAATATTAACATGCAAAAAAGTCTGCCAGACAAGAAAATCTTTAGTCATTCTTTCCAAGCACAAAATCCTCTCCCCAGCCCATTACATAATAGGGATGATGCTGGCCACTTGTTAGCAGGTGACCGGCCAGATTCTATTTGGCTGTTCACATGTGGCCTTCTCTACAGAATGGAAATCATGGGACAAAAGCCACGCTTGGAGCGACATGCAGCCTGGGCATGCGTTTCTAGTGGTGTGAAGCATCTGCCTGCTTAGAGTCAAAAGGCTGGCTTTTTAGTTTATTTACTTTTTTAAATTTTGTTTTTATTTATTTGTTTATTTTGTGTATGGACTTACTTATGCCACAGTTTCTGTGTAGAGGTCAAGAGTACAACTCGCTGTAGTCGGTACTCTCCTTCAACCACATGGGTCCTCGGGGATTGAATTCAGGTTGTTAGGCTTGGTGGCAAGTGCCTTTATCTGCTGAGCTTTTTCACTGACCCTTATTTTTATGTTTTGTTTTGAGACTGAGTCCTGCTATGTTTTCCAGGTTGACTTGGATCTTTAGTGTACTACCATTCCTGGTTTGTTTATTTCATGTGTGTGGTCATGTGTGTGTTTGCTTTTGGCTACTACAAGACAACCTTGAATGTTGTTCCTCAGGTGTGGTTCAGATAGTTTTCTGTATATATGTGTTTGTGTGCAGCCATGCACACACGTGCAGTCATGTACAACCCTGCACACACGGAAGCCAGAGGATCTCACATGGTGGCTGCTCTGTGTGTGTGTGTGTGTGTGTGTGTGTGTGTACACAGCTCGGCAAAGTCCTGCATGCACAGAGAGAGAGAGAGAGAGAGGCCGGAGGATCTCACATTCTCACATGGTGGCTGTTCTATCTTTTATTCCCTAGAGATAAAGTCTCTTGCTGAACTAGCAGTTGGGCTGCCAGCCAGCAGGTTCTAGTCTTCACCTCTATCTATCTCTTTCCCTCACAGTGCTTGAGTTACTGGCGCTTATAGGAGCCACACCCAGATTTTTATATGGGTGCTGGGGATTCAAACTCATGTCCTTAGGCTGGTCCTCTTACCATTGAGCCATCTCCCCGGTCTTCCTTGTTTCTTGAGACAGGGTCTTTAACTGATCTGCAGCTCAAATTCAGTTAGACGGACTGGGCAGCAAGTTCCAGGAATCTTCCTGTTTCTTCCTCCCCAATGCTGGGATTACAAGCATACGCCACCATGTCTGGCTTTTATGTAGGCTCTGGGGATGGAACTCATGTCCTCACATGAGCAAGCACGTTACCCACTGAGTAATCTCTACAACCCCATTTTGAATTTTTTGAGATAGGACTCACTTAAGATGCCCAGGTTAGTCAAGGCTGGCCTTGAACCTGCTATCTTCCGGCTTCAGCATGTGCCATTGTGTATAGGCACATTGGAGTCCATCATCAGTGTCTTGCCTCTCCTTGAGCTTGGTTTTTACTTGTTAAATCATAGGAGTGTGTGTTTTCCTGTCTGTCTGTCTGTCTGTCTGTGTGTGTGTCTGTCTTAGGGAGGCCCTGAAGAAGATGAAAGATGTGTATGAGAAAACGCCGCAGATGGGAGACCCTGCCAGCTTAGAGCCCCGCATTGCAGAGACCCTGGGCAACATTGAGAGACTGAAGCTAGAAGTGCAGAAGTATGAGGTCAGAGGGAAGCCCTGGGGAGGGGTGGGGGGAGGGGGGAGGGTGAGCTGTGTGAGTCACTGCAGGGTGGGGGAAGGGGATAGAACCTAACCCTTCCGTCTAAGTTTTGGGTGTGCATGGGTGATGTCAGGAAATGTCTCCAGTCCAAGAGTGGGCTGACCTCAATGCTTGCCCTGGAAGTCATGCTGTGATCCCTAACCAACCCTAGGCTTGGTTGGCAGAAGCTGAAAGCCGGGTCCTCAGTAACCGAGGGGATAGCCTGAGTCGTCACTCCAGGCCGCCTGATCCCCCAGCTACTGCCCCACCAGATAGCAGCAGTAGTAGCAACAATAGTGGATCCCAGGATAATAAGGAGAGGTAAGTGGGGAAGCCCGAAGCAGGATTGGCCCATAATCCCCTAGTGAGGGGCTGGGGGTGTGGTCAGGGTGGAGCCCCCCCTTGGAACTCCCCAGTAAGGGACTGGGGCAGAGTCAGGGGTGGAGCCCCACCTAGAACCCACCAGTGAGGAGATGGGGCGGGGTTTAGAGACCCTGGAGGGTGAGGCGCTCACCTTTCTTCCATTTCCAAGCAGCTCTGAAGAGCCCCCTTCAGAAGAAGGCCAGGACACCCCTATCTATACCGAGTTCGATGAGGACTTTGAAGAGCCTGCATCCCCTATCGGCCAGTGTGTAGCTATCTACCACTTCGAAGGTGGGCCTAGTACATGAGTTACCTTTCTTAATCTTGACAAAAAGAGCTCAACGTGAGAGCTGTAGCTCCGTGGTAGGTAGCATTCAGGAGGCTGAGGTTCAGTTCCCATTACTGACTAAAGGAGGGACCTGGGGGGTCAACTTAAGGAAGGGCTATTTTATCTTTTATTTTAAACATTTTTAGTGTGAGAGAGATCAGAGGACAATGTCCAGGAGTGGGCGCCCTCTTCCCATGTGTGTCCTGGGGACGGAACTCTGGCTGTCAGACATGGCAGAGTACCCAGGCTCTTGATTTCTCGGTTTTATTCAGTCCGGGATCCCAGCCTGTGGGATGCTGCTGTCCACATTCTCAGTGGGACGACCCATCTAAATTTGCCCAATCTAGAATCTCCCTCACAGACATCCAAGAGGTTTGTCCCAAAGGTGGGAGACATTCTTGAGGCCGAAGCTGACAGTGCTAACCCTCACATCAGGGCATGTAGCAGTTGGCTTGGAGCTGTGACTTCGGGTCAAATTCACCAAATCTTCCCTGTACCTCCCCCCATTCCCCAACAGGATCCAGTGAGGGAACCATCTCCATGTCAGAGGGGGAAGACCTCAGTCTGATGGAGGAAGACAAGGGTGATGGATGGACACGGGTCAGGCGGAAACAGGGAGGTGAGGGCTATGTGCCCACCTCATACCTCCGAGTCACACTCAACTGAACCCCATCAGAGCGGGGGACGAGGGGGCAGGGCTGTCAGCTGCTGCTTCTGGGCCACAGGGGGCCCACAAGATCTTGCACTTTATTCCTGCCCTTGTGGCTTTTGGCTGAGACCTGTGTAACCTGCTGTCCCCCTCTCCCACCCCGCCTGTCACCCTCTAGGGACCCACTTGTGCCTTCCCGCGTGGTTGTACATAATTGTCATTTAAGACCTTTCTTCCTGCCGCTCGGCTTGGGCCAAGTTTTGTTTTATATTAAAAAGTATATATATATATATATACATATATATATATATATAATTATATAATATTCTTGGAGTCTGTGGCCCTAACGATGGGAATGGACCCTCAAAATGTACCTCTGTGGAGGCAGTGGGTGTTGGCTGCTCTCTCAGAGGATCCGGAGTTGCTTTTGAATAGCAATATTGCATCTCACAACTATCCAAGCCTGTGCCCCCTTTGACCAACTCTGGCAACTGTACTCATACCCGCATAACTTTTTTGTAAGATTTATTTATTATGGATACAACATTCTGCTTCCATGTATTTCTGCAGGCCAGAAGAGGACACCAGATCTCATTATTATAAATGGTTGTGAGCTACCATGTGGTTGCTGGGAATTGAACTCAGGACCTCTGGAAGAGCAGCCAGAGCTCTGAGCCATCTCTCCAGCCCACAAAGCCACCTTTCTTATGAGCCACACAGGGAATATGTAGAGGTGAACCTAGGTTCACCCTGGCACGCCCTCCTTGTGTGTGCTGCCAGTGCTTATGACCCACCTACTGTATACCAGGCATCAGCTTTTATTCTGGCCACATTTCCCTAGAGTGCACAGAGAGGTCAAGTGGATTGCTGGGAGTCACATGGCATTTAAGAGGTAGAGTCAGATTTGAACTTCGATACCAAATCTGTAAGGTGTTTTTATTTAGCAAAGTCACACGTTTACCACGTGGTTGCTTTCTGGGTATCCCACACAATATGCATGGATGAATAAGGGGTATATATGAGAGTGTGAGGGTTGAGTAGGTATTTTGAAAAACAGGAGGCAGCTATTACACCCCAATCTTGGGGTCCATTTTAAGAGAGATTCTTGTAAACTTTGACCCCCGAAGCATCATATTTTTAATTTTTTCCCCCATAATTTTCATAGAGCCCAAGCTGGCCTCAATCTTATGAGGCTGAGGCTGGCCTTGAACTCCTAATCCTCCCATCTTCACTTCCCAAGTGCTGGAGTTATGGGTGTAGACCGCTTCACCAAGTTTATCTCATAACCTCTTGAATAGCTGGGAGCAGCAGCATCCTTGGGGTCTCTCAAGTCAAAAATGGGGGCCCGGCTCTCAGTCCTGAGGCTCTAGTTGTTCGGACAGGATGCTGAGGACACGATGGAACTTCTCCAGGCGGTGGGCTCTAGTGGCCTGGGCGCCCTTGCTCCCCCAGAGTAGGCGGCGCAGGAAGCTGGTGGTCAATGCCTCCCATAGTTCTGGGTTGGGCCTGAATCCTGTAGGCAGAGTCAGGTGCATTGGGGTTTGGCTCAGGCCTCTCCCTATACCTGTCTTTTAATGCTAGGAACTTTGATCCATAGGAGCCAGTGGGGAGTGCCTGGGCAGAGGTTGCAGAGAAAGGGGGCCCCTTGATCTCTTCAGGGGTGAGAGCAGGGTGCAGAACAACTCCAGGCATGAGGGTGGCCAGTCCAGGTGTACTATTCACGGAGCCCTGCATTAGACCCTATGCCTGGAGGTGGTATTGAAGGATATGGCCATCCAGCTTGGCAAACCTTGGGCTGAGCCTGTCCCTTTGGAGGGTGGGGACACCTAGGGTCTCAGAAATTACCCAGAATAAGGGTCTTGGAGGTTGGGCTGGACTCAGGTGGGAGGGAGGTGTGACTCTGGGGAAGTGGTCATGTTGGAGGGGACCCCAATGGGCCTAGATCTTCCCAAGCCAGAAATTGGGGTGGCACACAATGGGTGTAGTTCTGCTGGGCTCAGCGGTCCCTTTTATAGTGGTTATGATTATATTATATTTGTGGTTCATGATTAGGGTTAGACCCTCCTCCGGGGTGTGGCGTCCCAGTTGGAACTTTGGAAAGCTAAGACCAGGTGGCCTCTAAGGGGCTCTTGCTCACCTTGCAGGCGCTGGGCTGCCGCCCTGCGGAACCGGGGTGCATCACGGGCCACCTGTCGCGCCCCAAGCAGGGTGCGCATCAGTCGGTCACATGACTCGTCCAGCGGCCCAGAGGTCTCCTCGCCCTCCATCAGGCGCGCTACCGGTGCCACGTGTGGCAGGGCCACTTCTCCTGGGTTACAGGGTCCTGTAGGAAGGGTGAAATCTGCTGGAGTAGAGCCTAGGTGGTAACAGGGACGTGGCCAAAGGCAGGGGAGGAGGGGCCAGGCCGGGGGCCTAGGGTACCGAAGGTGCTTATGATTGGGGAAGGATTTAGTTAAAGAGGAGGGGCCTAACCACAGGGCGGGGGAGGAGTGTAGGACTTAGCGCAGAAGAAAAGCCTCGGATGGAGCAGGCGTACGGCAGGAGAGGATCCTGGAGTTGAAAAGGAGGCTGCCGAGGCAAAGAGCACATGGCATAGGAGGCAGCCTAGACCAGAAAGCCTAAAACCGGGAGAAGTGAAATTTAGGGCAGGGAGGGGAGCATGGGGCAGGCATGAACCTAGGGCTGGGAGGGATCCTGAGTCAGGCAAGGCCCAGCCCAGGCCCTCTCTTACCTGTACTTTCATCCAGAGCCCGCATCAGAGGCTTTAGCTCTTGTTCAAACACCAGTGCAGCCTCCGTGTGGCTCCTTCGTAGATGATGCCAAGTGCTCTCTAACCTGGATACCTGGACACAGAGACAGGAGCCCCAACTAGTCCTCTGTTTCCTGTCATCTGCACCCAGGCTTCCGCCCCATCCCCGTTCCCAACGCACCTGGGGCATGAGCAGGGCGCCCATGACCCCAGCCAGACCCAGCAGGTCCCCGGTCTCTCCTGGCCTCAGAGCCAACGCCAGCTCCACCAGGCCTTTCAGAGCAGCTGTGCGCTCCTCCAGGGGCCCCAAGCATCCCAGCACAGCCAGGGCCCCGGCCAGCGCCAGGGTCTCAATCCTGCAGAGGTGGAATGCAAGGGTCTGGGGGCAGTAGGAGAATTTGTGATGGGAGTGGGGGCAGGAAATGGGTTTCCCAATCCCCTCCTTCCACCATGGGGAACGTTAGTAGAAACTGGGTTAGGAAGTCACACCCCCCCACACACACCTCACCTCTCTAGCACCTCCAACCTCAGGCGATGACCATGAGGAAGTGTGAGTAGCTCTAGACCGGAGGCAACACCCATGGCACTCCTCTGACTCTTGTTCACCCCCAGCAGGCCTACAGCCTTGACAAGAGAACACAAAGCAAGGTGAAACAGACTAAGCATGGGATGATCCCTTGGAGCCGGCTTCTGTTCCCCTGGTGAAGCCATTTCCTCCTAACAGAAACACTCCATCCTGACAGAATAGGGAAGCTCCTAGGATGAGAGGGAACGGACAAGGCCAGGGAAGTAGAGGAAACCTGGAAGTCTCAGGCAGTCTCTGAAGTTCACAAGGTTCACAAGACTCATAAGCAGTGACAATTTTTGGAGCTGCCTGCAGGGGGCGCTGGGGATGCGGTGTTTGTGAGTGGTTACCCATGCTAGCCTTGGGCTTTTTATGTAATGCAGCCTTTGAGTCACCATAATCCTGTGACTGACCTCCCACCTCTACTCCAGGAAGTAACCCCATAAACTTTCCAGTTCACCGACTCAGGTGGAATCATTTCCTTCTGCTGCCAGTGCCCTAGCTATGGTGAATAGACATTTGTTCACAATTCTCCAGGAAAAGCCACAGATAGCTTAGTCCCTTGCTGGTAGAGGACTCTAGCAGGTGACCCACCTGGCAATCCACCAACAGCAGGTGTAGAGCAGTGCTCCCGGGATGGTGTGCCACAAACAAGCTTCGGAGAGTACTCAGAACTGTAGGGTCCATGGGCCGATTCTGGGGACCCAGCAGGCGGGAGGGGTGGCCAGGGATGCAAAATGAGACCTCAGCGTGTGGTCTTACAAAGCATCTGTCCCCATCTTCCTCTTCCTCCTCCACTTCCCACCAGCAGGCATCTGGCTCTGGACAGCTTGGTCTAGGAGTCGTTCTCTGAGCACTGGACACTCGGGGGTGGAGTTCGCAGTATGTTGAGGAGTGTCCAGAGGCCAAGGAGGGTGTCCGGAGGGGCTTGGAGAGAGCTTTTGCGTGAAGCCGTCCATCAGAGGCTCTGAGACTGCCCGCCATAGTTCCCATGTGAGGCAGGGCCTTCAGCAATGTGGGTTCGCTGCCTGTCCTGTGCAGGGCCGATCCAAAAGTAGGGGGCGCTCCTGAGACAAGGAGGGATATGGGTGTGCTTAGAGACCACAGCTTGGCAGAGTGGGATGGAAGTGAGACTTAAAGTCTCTGGCTCGTCTGCTTCAGCTACTGGTTCAGCCCAGTAACTGAGGATCCCTCCCTAACCTCCCAACCTCACTTGGGGAATGTTCTGAATTCTGGGTGCTACATTTAACATTTGAATGTGTGTGATCATGTGTATGTGGTTATGCGTGCACAAACATACGGATGCCAGCATGGATGCCAGCGGATGACCTTAGGTGTTGTCCCCCAGGCATCATCGACTTGATTATTTGATCAGGATTTGTGCCACTGGCCTGAGACTCCTGACTGTGTCAGGCTGTTGGCCCAGTGAGCCTCAAGGATTTCCTGTCTCCACCTCCCCAGCATTAGATAAAAACATGCATCACCATGCTTGGCTTTTTAAAACATGGGTTCTGGGGATTTGAACTCAGGTCCTCAGGCTTGTGTGGCAAGCACTTTGCCCACTGCACCATCTCCCCTTCCCCCATATCCCCTCCCCTCCCACCTTTTCCTGAGAGAGGGTCTCAGTGGGTAGTCTACATTGCCTTGAGTTGAAGATCCTCCTGTCTGGGATTCTCAAGTAGCTGAGCTGACACACACATACACACTTATGACTCAGTACTGTATTCACAAACATGTGAACACTCACTTATGACGTAGGCCTGACACACCACACACACACACACACACACACACACACACACACACACTTATGACCCTATATCAGTATCAAAGGGCTCTCAACTGACTGGAGCAAGAAACCAGGGGCCTGAGGTAGATCCAGGGGCCTGAGCTCACTCGGGGGAGAATGGTAGCACCAATCTCACAGCTACCATGGCCCTGGGGGCCCTCACCTGCTCCAGCTCCATCTTCTTCTGCAGGCTGGTTGGAACTCCACTTCCTGGGCCTAGGAGACAGAGGTGCAAAGGGTTGTGGGTCCAGCTTGTGTAGAGAAAATGCTACCAACCAGTTCTATCAACCTGCCAGCCACTTCAGCAATGGTTCTGCTCTTAATTCTTAGTTCTTAATTCTGCGGCTAGGCTGGCAGAAGTAGAGGGCAGGAGGATCCGCAGTTCGGGGGCATCCTCCACTACACAGTGAGTTTGAGCCCAGCCTGGGCTACATGAGACCTTGCCTGAAATTGTCGGTCAGAAGAAGCCTCAACACTGAGTACCTGAGAGTCCTGGTGGCAGCCAGGCTGTCTGTGAGCACATTCTCACTGAAGCTGCGTGTCAGTGGCCTCTGACGACTCACGGGCCTGGAGGCCACAGCTCCTGTGGCCTGAGACAGTGGCTGTCCGAGGGTCATGTAACTGTGGACCAGGGCAGACATGCTGGCAAACCTTTCATCTTCTAGCTGAAAGAGGGCCTGTGGGCGACCAGGTCTGGGCCGCAGTGCCACTCGGAACACCTCAAAATGTAGGGTCTTGCCTCGCCAACGGCAGGAGATCACTGGGGAGTGGCCTTGGGACTCTGAGATACGAACAAGGAAGTCTCCATCTTGTCGTAGAAGGGCTTCAGCTCCCTGAGGATGCAGAATAGGTGACATGTTTCCAGAACCTTACCCTCCCACAGCGGACAAAAGCCACCATAAAGGAGGGGCTCCACCCTGACCATGCCCTCAGCCCCTCATGGGGATTCTAGGCGGGGCTCCACCCTGACCATGCCCACAGCCCCTCACTGGGGGATTCTAGGCAGGGGCTCCACCCTGACCACGCCCTCAGCCCCTCACTGGGGGATTTCAGGCCAGTGTTCTACTTCTGGGTCAGGACCCCAGAACTACTGATTTTTTTTTTTTTTGAGATAAACTCTGACTATGTAATCCAGAGTGGCCTTAAACTGCACAGCTTCCCGAGTGTTAGGGCTGTAGTTGTTTATCATGCTACTTGGCTCTAAGAAGTATTGTATTTCTTACTTTGACAGGGTCTTTCTATGTAGCCCTGGCTGGTCTGGAACTCACTGTGTAGCCCAGGCTGGGCTTTAACCCACAAGATCTATCTTCCTCCCGAGTGCTGGATTTACAGGCGTGCTCCACCACACCAAATTGAGAGGAATTGTTTTGATTCCCCACTCTATAGATTGGTAAACTGAGTCTCAGAGAGTTCAAATACATTGTCCATAGTCCCAGAGACTGTAAATCGTAGGGCTAGAATCTGGACCCAGCATGTCTGATTGCTGGGCAATCACTTAGCTTTCTGTTTGCCACAATTTTACTGTGTTTCAGTGTTTAGGGGCTCTTGAGTATGTGACACTAAGGAGATAGAGGCAAGGTGGCTCAGCTTCAAAGGGAAGTGCCAGGGAGAGATGGGGCCAGAGGGGGAGACAGACAGGGGCAAGAGAGGACACAGGGGGTCTGTTCAACCTCTGTTACCATCCTCAGCAGTATCCCAGGGATGGTTTCAATTCATCTGACAGTTCCCACTTAGCCAAGCTTCAAAAGTGTCTCTGGTCCTCCAGCAGCCCAACTGCCCCCAATAGACCCTGGCTCTAAGTTGCTCATTTGAGATCCAGGATTTCCCACATTGGTGTGGGAAAGCCTTCCCACCAGCCTGCAAGGTTCATACCTGTCGAGACAGCTGACCGTGGTACCAGGGCTGGCAGGCAAGATCATCTCTGTCCTGTGGCACCTGCATGGAGGTCTTGGTGGAGGCAATCAGGGCTGAGATCTGCACATTCACCCAGCCTCAGTCTTTTACATCTGCAAAATGGGAGCAATGAGTCCTGCACACTGAGGGCCTGGGTCTTATTCTTTCATCCTTATCTTATTTTTGAAAGTGGCCATCCCATTCATTCATTCATTCATTCATTCATTCATTCATTCATTCATTCTAGTTTTGCTCTAGTCAGCTTTAATTATCAACTTTACACAGCATAGAGTCACCTTGGAAAGGAGTCTCAGGTGAGGGCTCGTTGTCGTGTGATCATATTTACACGTGTGTATGCCTGTGGGGATTGTCTTCATTGTTAATTGTGTAGAAGGGCTCAGCCCCCTGTGGGTGGCACAATTCAGCCCCTGGGAAGGTGGTGCTGGGCTATGTGAGGAAGCTAGCTAACATGGGTCTGTGTGCGAGCCAGCAAGCAATGTTCCTCCATCTTTTTCCCCCCACAAGCTCCTGCTTGTGTTTCTGCCCTCGCTTCCTTCAGTGAGGGATTGTGACTGGGAAGCTGTAGTAAAGCCCCAACTGCTCCTGAGCTGCTTTTGGCCCATGTCTTACCCCATCAACAGAGACGCAGCGGGAATGAAGCTAGAACAAGCCCATATTCAGCACATACAACAGTGGGTTTTGTCATGACATCTTCATACCTGTTTAAAACATGTTCTGCTCATACCCACCCCATTACCTTCTCTATTATTTAAACATTTATGTACATGTGATGTGTGCACGCATGTGTGTGCAGGTGTTTGCACCCTTAGGCACGTGTTGAGGCCAGAGGAGGATGTTGAGTATCTATTTCTGTCTCCAGTATAACTTGAGTTGGGGTCCCACAGTCAATCAGAAGATTGCCACTTTGGCTAGGCTCCCTGTCTCTGCCTGCCCAAAACTGGGCTTACTGCAATGTGTGGCCATGACCAGGATTTTACTTGGGGGCAGGGGACACTTGTGCAAGCACCCTTTCTCATGGAATCATGTCTCCAGCTCATTACTCTCTCCTGTCTGCACACCCCCATTGTGCTGGTCTTTTTCATGTCATGTATGTGCCTGTGTGTATATATCAGTACTTGGTTATATGTCTTTTACATGTGACAGAAAACATAGCATTTCTCTAGCTCTGGCTTATTTTAGTTAACATGATATTCCCCAGTCCCATCAATTTTTCTGCAAATGACATATTTTTAATAACTGCATAATATTCCATTGTATAAACACAACAGACCCCCCTTTTATTCTTCTCCAATTTTTTTTTCTTTTTGGAGATCTTATAGCCCAGTTGGCCTTAAAGTCCTGCCTCTATTTCTTGAGTGCTGGGTCAAATATCTTTCTCATCCATGTGTGGATGGACTTCTAGGCTGATTCTACACTGCCTCTTGTGAAGAGTCCACATTGTATCACAGCTCAAATGACACTATAGATAACATACATACATATAAACACACATACATACGTAGATATAAATAATATAAGCCCATGTGATAAATTAAACAAGCAATCTGCAACCATATTTACATGCATATACACACACACACACACACACACACACACACACACACACAACACATTGTGCAGCCCTGGTTGGCCTGGAACTGGCTATGCATTCCAGACTGGCCTAGAAATCACAGAGATCTTCCAGCTTCTGCCTCCTGGGTGTTGCAATTAAATGTGTGTGCCAGTCTGCACAGCTAGTGTGTGTGTGTGTGTGTGTGTGTGTGTGTGTGTGTGTGTTGCTGGGGTTTGAACCTGAGACCTCCCAGGTGCCCTACAGGTACAGACATTGAGCTACTACCCAGCCTTAAATATCTCAGTATTAATAGTGTAAGCCTCATTTTACAAGCATGAGTTCTATTACTGAACTACAGCTTCCAGCTCAGATGAGAAATTTTGTATACAAATAAACACAATACACTTATTTATAAGTAAGTATATATTACATAAAACAAAACAATATATATTTCCCCTGGTTTGATATTCTGTTGCTGTGAGAAAACACTGATCACAAGCAACTTGGGGGAGGAGAGGATTCAGTTGGGTTACACTTCCATGTCACACTCCATTCCCGACGGAAGTCAAGACAGGAACTCAGTCAGAGGGTCCAGCAGTCAAGAGTGCAGACTGCTTTTGCACAGGACCTGAGTTCAGATCCCAGCATCCACACTGCAACCCACAACAGCCTGCAACCTCAGCCCCAGGGAATTCTACAACTTCTGACATCCACACACATCTGAATCCCCATCCCTACATGGAGTACATTTAGTTACACAGACACAGACACACAGACAGGCAGACACACACATCCATGCCCCCCATAACATACATTTGGTCACAGAGACACACATATCCACATCCTCTGCCCATGTGTCATACATTCAGCAAACAGACAGACAGACAGACACAGACATACACCCCACACATTTATATATACAGTAACTGAAGCGGAAACCACATAGACTGGTTACTGGCTTGCCCACTGGTTTTCTGTTAGCTTCTTAAGCAGCACAGGTCTAGGGTGGCACTGCCCACTGTGGGCTGACATTCACACACATGTAAAGGAAAACACTGTATATGTAGAAATAACAGAAATGTATCCATAAAATTGGCCATAAGTAACTTCTTACTTTAGTTACCATCATTTAAATTGGGTACGGCTGCATTTGTCTGTAAACTCAGTACTCTGGAGGCTGGGGTAGGAGGGTCATGAGTCAAAGCTAGCCTGGGCTACAGAGTGAGACCCAATCTGAAAAAAATTTCCAAATAGTAAAAATAAAATCAAATAGTAAAGTTAGAGTCATCTCACACTGACAACTGCACATTTGAGGGCTCCTTATCAAAGTGCAATATGTCAGAAATATATATGTTCCAGCAGAACACAATGTTGGTTTGTTTTGATGATCTCAAGTAGCCCAGGCTGGCCCGGAACTCACTATATAGCCCAGGATGATTTTGAGCTCCTGATCCTCCTGTCTCCACCTCTCCAGTGCTGGGGTGTACGCCTGAACCCCCAGGCTGGGTTTATTTGTGCTGAGTGCTCTCAGCACCACCCTCCTGCGCAGTCTTCATGATGGTTTAAAAGTCTAACTTAGAGACTGATCTGCAAAAGGCGATTTTACATTTTACATTTAGAGTTTCTCCTTGTATTTGGGAACTCAGCTATTTTGTTAGTATATTATGGTTAGATTTTAGATCTCAGACATTATTCCACAGGCCCCAGCTTGTGCCTCAAATATCTGTCACACAAATCACCTTGGGTGAGAGAGAGAGGGCTATCCTCTCTCTCTCTCTCTCTTTCTCTCTCTCTCTCTCTCTCTCTCTCTCTCTCTCTTTCTCTCTCTCTCCATCCACCCATCCAACGATTGTCTGTCTGTCTGTCTGTCTGTCTGTCTGTCTGTCTGTCTGTCTGTCTGTCTGTCTGTCTGTCTGTCTGTCTGTCTGTCTGTCTGTCTGTCTGTCTGTCTGTCTGTCTGTCTGTCTGTCTGTCTGTCTGTCTGTCTGTCTGTCTGTCTGTCTGTCTGTCTGTCTGTCTGTCTGTCTGTCTCCAAAGTCTGGAGCCTAGAAGTGGCCCTCCCTGGCCGAAGCTTCAGAGAGGTATGCAGCAGGATTCTTGCCTCCTGAGTCACCGCTTCCAGGAAAGGGGGCGGGGCACCCTTAGCTGCGTGGTCAGCTGAGACCTGGGGCCCTAGGGTCCCGGAGAGAGCTGCCTCAGGCATTGTACACCTGAAGCCAGGTGTGCTCCAGAACGTGCACATTTCCTGTTTGTCACCTGGGTGGGGTCCGCAACTATGGTCGTGAACTTCACGACTCACAAATTCCTGTTTCTCCAGTCACCTTGACAGGAATGGAGGCCAGGGAGGACCAAGCTCCTCTGGTGCAAGTTGGGAGAGCCTAAGGAGGGCACAGATCCACCCCAGGTCAATGAAGCTGTCCTCTGGGTCTTTTGGGGGATAATTTATTTTGACAGGGGAGGGGAACCGGAGAAACGGCTAGGCAAACTTGAGTGAGGTCTGTGGGTCTTCTGTGTCTGTGTAAAGCTGCACACACATTTAGGGGTGCACTTAATCAGCAGGGGAAGTTGGGGTTCTGGGGTCTCACCTTCGACCCTGAACTGATATGGTGATTTAAGACCTGCTGTGGAGCAGCCTGTCCTAGACTCTGAACTCCCAATTACTCCATCCCCAGCTACAACCAACAACCAACAGATGAACGAAGATCATTTCTAAGGGTCCCTGGTGCAAGTAGTGAAGCGGTAAGATATTGTAGCGGTAAGGAAGGCTGGAGGTGCAGGGATCTTTTAAAAATTTTATTGTGTGCCGGAGTGCTAAGGTTCGAGGGTGGAGGTTAGAGAACAAGTCAGTGGCCACGGTTCTCTCCTCTGTCTTCATGTGGGTTCCAGAACGGAACTCAGGCTAGTAGGTTGCAGGGACAAGCGCCTTTATCAGCAGAGCCATCTCGTCGGGGGGGGGGGCTGGTGTTCTTTTAAATATGAAAGACCCTTTCTAGAAGGCGAGGACCTGGGAGCTGAGACCTAGGTTTGGACTGAGGCAACAAGGCAGAGTTCGGGATGCCTGGTGTGGTGAGCTGAGGGTGAGGCAGTTAGTTAGCCGGGTTGCTTTTTGATGTTTTCACAGGACCAAGGTGCTGATGTGAACCAGGAGGGACCAGAGGGTAAGAAAAGGAGTCCTGGAGGGGAAACCTCACAGTAAGGGGAGCACCCCATTTTAAACCAGAGATCACAGGCCCGACTTTAGGAAGGGTTTGGAGCCAGCCAGCCAGGGAGGGGCAGATCCGGATTTGCGCTGGCGCACACGAAAGTGGAAGCCTAGAGTGTTTCCGCAGAGAGCAGGAAACACACTGGGAGCTGTGCGAGGGCCACCCAAGGCACACCCGGGTTCCCGGACACGCATGACGCTCAGCCACTCACTTGGAGACTTCTTCCGTCCCTCCCCCTCTCCCCCCGCAGATTCTCTTGGATGGATCTTGGGGTTCTCCCTGAGAGCTGACGGCTCCACCCCGATCAGTAGGGACCCTGGATCTACCAAAGACCACCCCCTCACTCACCTGGGCCGGACTCTGGGAGGATCCGACGGGACTCAATCTGGAGGCTCAGCGGTTGAGGAGCGCAGTGTCCACGCCCCAGCCGGGTCCAGCCTCGCCAGCACTCCACCTGGCTGGAGCCCAGCCCTAGCACCTGGCCCCGCCCCTTCAGCCCGGCACACCTTCCCCGCCCCTTCAGGCTCCGCCTCCAAAGGAACCTCCCAGGTGCTCTCCCCGTCCCCTTGGAACTTGTCCGCCTGCAGCGGCATCCGTGTGCGTCCGTCCGTGAGTGTGAGTGTGTGCGTCTGTTCTCAATAGACTCCCCGTCCTTGGCAACTCCAAATAGCCCCGCTCTTTAGACAGGCGCCCCACCTCCTCACGGCCACGCCCCACTTAGTACCATTCTTTGGGATTTTTCTCTTTCCTTTTCTTCTTTCTCTGCCCCCCCCCCCTTTTTACAGAATTCAGCTATCTCTCCGAGGATGACCTTGGACTCCTGGTCCTCCTTCCTCCATCTCCCGCGTGCTGGAACGGCGGGGGGGAGCTGCCATGCGCGGTGCCGGGGACTGAACCTCCCGGCTTTGTGCACGCTGGAGAGCGCTCAACCCACTGAGGCCTAGAATGACTTTTCCCACATACCATGTCTCCATAGGACCGGGCGGTGTCTCTCCAAATCCCCAGGGATCCAAATCAGTTCAGGGCAGTCCTAGCCTGTGGCAACAAACCTGCTGCTTCCTCCAGGCCATCCTCACCCTGCTGGGGATGAGAGTTGAGAGACTTGTGGGGAAGTAGACAGCCTCCATCAAAGACGGAGCTGGGCGGGAGTTTGGGACCAGGATGAAGACTGAGGGTTCGGATGGTTTCTCAGGTTGGGGGTGGGGTTCCATCCTGATGCCCAGAGACGAGGCAGAGGAAGTTGGGGGTTGCAAATCTGCGGCAAGAGAGGCGATATGCACTTGTTAAAAGGCCACGTTTATTCAAAGCTCACTAGTAAGTCAGGCTGTGGCGGGTGTTCAGTGGGTAGAGCGCTGGCCCAGCATGCACGAACCAACTGCAGCACTCGAGAGGAGGAGGCAGGAGGATCAAGACTTCAGTCAGCCTTAGCTACACTGCGAAGTTCAAGGCCAGTCTGGGCTATATGAGATTCTTTAAAGTATTCCATATAATAGCGGCAACGCTTATTGAACACCTACTGGATACTAAGACAATTCAGCTTGCTAGTCCTGACCCTACGGGTTAATTTTGACTCACTCCAGGAATGAGACAGGTGCTATTCACGTCACCCACCCCACCCCACCCCATTTTCCCAGTGGAGAAACTGAGGCACAGGGGTGAAGGAGCTAAGTCATTCGTGCAAATGTACCGCAGCCTGGGAGTGGTAGGGATGGATTTTGAATTTAGAGCCCTAGTTGATGCTTTCCAGCCTACCTCGTTTTTTTTCACAGCCTGGCCTCCCCCTGTAATCTTCGACCCTGACCGTGAGCAGAGAAAGTAAATTGTTACCCAGTTTACAGAAGAGGGAGAGGATGCGTAGGAAGTCACAGATGTCAAAAATAGGGGATGGAAACTGTCCTCGCTTGCAGAGTTGCAAAAGGGAGGGTTTCCAGGCTGTGCCCACCTCTTCCCCCATCTCCCCGCTATGTAAATCAGACTCACGGTGGTCCAGGGAAGCGGTCTAGCACCGCCTAGTGGCCATAAGGATGAAAAGGCAGAGTGGGAGGGGAGCTACTTGGAAACTGGTGAGCTAAATCTTGAGAAGGGCTTCCAGGCAAAGGGAATTTTAGCTCCTAATAATAGTAGCTAAATTATAAGTAAGTAGGAAGGCAGTAAATATTTGTTAAGCAAACTAATTCGTGAATGACAGGGGAGGGTGATGGTGGCTTTGACTCAAAGGGGAACTCAACAGCTGGAAAGGTGGGCTATATAATTGTCAGGTTTATTGGGTATCAGAGTTTATAGAGAGGGAAAGGACAGGAAAGGGTGGAGGAGGGCTGTGATTTGAAATTTTGGAAGACCTCAGAAAAAATGACATTTGGAGGCTCAAGAGACTGCTCAGTCAAGTGTGCGCTATAGGATTGAGAGGCCCTGAGTTCAAATCCCTGGCATACACTTAAAGCAGGAGGAGGTAGTCTAGGCTCTTTATTCTCTATGCTCCTAGGATGTGATGGGAAGCAGAGACAGTTGTGGAAGCTCAGGGACCAGCTATCCAGGAACAGAGAGAGAAAGAGAGAGAGAGAGAGAGAGAGAGAGAGAGAGAGAGACTGCCTTAAGCAGTATGGAGGAGAAGACCTTCATTGAGGTTGTCCTGTGACTTCAACACATCTGTCAGTGTGTTGAAGCACCCACACTCCACACACAAACATGCACAAACACATGCTATTCACAGCACAAGATCAAAAAGAAAGAAAGAAGAAAAGAAAGAAAAAAAAGGGTGGTGAGAGGGCTCAGTGGGCAAAGGTGATTGCTGCAAGCCTGAAGATCTGAGTTCAATCCCTGGAACTGACATGGTGGAAGAAGAGAACAGACTCCTTCCCTCATGTCCTCTGACCTCCACACATAAACTATGCCCCACAAGTGTCTTCACACGCATACACAGATATGACATATATACATATATATGCCAAATAAATGTAATAAAAATGAAAAAGAAAAAATGACTGTAAAAGCAGAACACCTCTTCTACTGTGTATTTATATGATATTATTTGACAGTTTCCCACATGTTCCCACCCTCAACTCCCTCTTACTCCCCCAGGCACTCCCAACGAGTCCTGGACCCCTTTCCATTCTCTCCACTTATTTGCTCTTTTTAAACCCACTGCATCCATTACTGTTGCCTGTGGGGATGTTGGCTCATGCTCCTGGCTTGACTTCATGAGCACAGCTCTCATGCCATGACTGGGAGAGCATGTCACAGACCTCCCCATTCCCCAGTTTTTCACCCTTTCTCTCTCCAGACTTGAGGCAGTGGCGATATAGATGTCCCGCCGCCCCACCCCCCGTAGCTGAGCACTCATTAGTCAAAAAGTAGCACATAGGCAGCGATGTATGTAGTCAGTCATTATCTTAACGCAGGGTGGTGGGCACAAGGGCCAAGGGTCAGGGGCAGGATGGAGGTCAGTGTGGCTTGAGCACAGGGGGAGAGAGGACAGGGAGGCTGGGAGGGGTGGGGGCAGGGTGATCAGGGCCATGTGAGGTTCAGGGAACACTTGGGTTTTGACCCCGTGGAAGAAGGAAGTCGGAGCCATAAAAGGCTATGGGTAGAGGAGGAATGGTTGAGACTTAACACTGTGCTCAAGGGTGCCCTTTGGGGGCTGCAGCGGGGACAGACTATGAGAGACCAGGGCCTTACACAGGGCACCAGGAGGAGCCAGAGGAGGTGACAGCTTATGTGCCAATAGGCAGGATGAGGTCGTGTCTGTTTAGTCCTGCAGGTGCCCGGGTTGCTCAGTGTGGGTGGAGAGAGGCAAGGTCACACCAGTGCGTGGAAGGCCTGGGGGCGGAACTGCAGGTGCTCCCCTCCGCCCCACAGCTCCTCCCTACCCCCCACCCCCAGGGCGACAGTTACAGTCACAGAAGAGGAAGTGGTGTTGTAGTTGTCCCCACTGGGGCAGGCAGCGGCAGGGGTGGTGGAGGCGCGGGGGTGCACGGGGGCCTCCCCGAGGGGGAGGCAGGCAGCCACTATGGAGCTCTGGCGACAGTGCACTCACTGGCTGATCCAGTGTCGGGTGCTGCCTCCCAGCCACCGTGTGACATGGGAGGGGGCCCAGGTGTGTGAGCTGGCACAGGCACTTCGGGATGGTGTCCTCTTGTGTCAACTGCTTAACAACCTGCTTCCCCAAGCTATCAACCTGCGGGAGGTTAACCTACGGCCCCAGATGTCTCAGGTGAGCCTGCTGGGTGATGCCAGGGCAGGGCTGGGTTGGGGGAGCGCCTCTCTAGGCCTGGGTCTGGCTAAGGGGTGGTGCTGAGTAGAGCAGGGCTCTGGGTGGGTTTACAGACTCTATATTGGCTTGCATCTGCCTTGGCAAACTAGGGGGAACCCCCCCAACCCCAGGCTAACTGTTGAGACCCATCTAGAGGGGCCCGAGGGGTACGCGGGTGCCTTGTGGATAGCCAAGAGTGCGCATGAGGTTGGAGCCACCAGATGCAGGCCTTGAAGAGAGAGGCCTTCAGTTGTTTCTCCCCCACCTGTGGCTCCTCCTCTTCCGCCTCTTTTTGCCCCCCCTTCCTCCTCACATCTTCCTTCACCTCCACTTCCTGCCGGGGCTCTGGGCTGTGTGTCATGGAGGGTGGGGGTCTGCAATGTTATCCCACGAAGGGCCCATTGAATGCAGGGCCGAGGCCAGAGATTCTGAGAAGGGCCAGGGTGACTCAGAGTCTGGTGCTTCTCCACCTCCCACCCTTCCAGGGGAGGCATGCTCAGATGTGCTTAGGAAATGTATTCAAATTTTTATTTGAATGTGATTGGGGTGGTGGGGAAATGTGACTGGTGGCTTTGTGCTCTCTTCCCTGCTTCTCCAGGGATGCTGGGTTTTGAGGGGGTCTGATAGTCCTAGGAAAGGAAGATATAGGTTCAAGTCAGAGGGGTTCATAGCCTTACCATGGAGGATGAGGGGTATGAGCTGTATCTAAGGGAACATGACCTTGCCCTGGGGTCTGAAGGACACAGCCCTGGTGTAGGGGGCATCTACCATCTTGCCTTCAGTCTTTGAGACCAGCACAGCCAGTTCTTTCAAGTCCCAGGGTGCCATCCCTGGAAATGATGAACAGTGGTTGTCGGGGGCCTGGTCTCTTCCCTCATGTGAGGGGCCCCATGTAGTTGTCAGTGGGTGAGGTAGTGGCCCCTGGTTCCACCACAAGTTCTCTGAGGGGAACAGGGAACACAAAACCCACAGTCCTCCATGAACCTGGCTGGCTACAGGCCATCAGAGATTTGCCTACATTTGCTTGAACTCCAGTAGCTTTAAGAGCTTGAGGAAGTGGCCATGGGACATGTTGGGCCCCAGATCTGGTAGGACTCTGGGTGCCCTACGATGTGGCAATCGCAGCTGTTGGGAAAACGGAGTTAAGGATGAACTTCCACCCTGTGCATCATAGCTAAGGCTGATTTTCTGAAGGGCAAGTGTGCATGGTGTTAATCCCCACAGGACCTGCTTTGTTCCAACAATAGTCCTAATATGTACCAGGCAATGGTGGGAACTTGGCTCTGGCCCACAAAGAGCTCTTAAACACAAGGAGACAGAAAAAGATATGTCCCAGGCCTGTGTGCTCTGGGGACGTGGGCAGGACACTGCCTGGGAGAATTAGGCCTTATGAAAAGAGGGATACTTAGGCTGGGTTTTGAAGAGTCAGTAGGAGTTTTCCCATTGTTCTGGCTTCCAATATCCTCTTGTATGGAGCTTCAGGCTGGGCTAGGGTTCACCTTAACCTTCTCCATCTCTCTTCTCTGTGGCTTCCAGCCTCAGTTCTTTCTGCCTTCCTTGGAAATTCTGTTTCTGGAGGAGATGTGTGTGAGAACCAATGGGCTATGCACAATATGCCAGAGGGAGGTGCCCTACGGAGGTCACCTCTGGGCCTTTGGGACATTGTTAGCCGAATGCAGCCAGGGACAGAGTGGCCTGTGGGATGTAGAAGGCAGAAATGACAGGGAAAGAGTGACTTATGGAAGCAGAGATAAAGGTGTAGAGGTTGGAATGAGAAGACTACTTAGTTCCTCCACTTCTTCATCACTTTCCTTTTTCCAGCAAATAGGGAAGAAATAATATATATACCACCCATCTACCTTCCATCCATCCCATCCATCCATCCATCCATCCATCCATCCATCCATCCATTCATCCATCCACTCACCCATCCATCAAATAGTTACTGTGCAGGGCAAGCCCCATCCTTCGTGCTGGGGACTATGGGAGTCGGACACACGTGTTCATGATTTAACACACCATATTCTGAAGAAGGGAAATACATTGATGAGAAAACAAAGACAGGGTGTACATTTTTAGGCAGTGGCTCATACTTTGAAGAAATTCTTGGAAAGGGTGCTTGGTGACATTTTTGAGTAGGGAGTCTAGAAAGCCTTGCTAGAGCAAAAGCCTGCGGGTAGCGAAAGATGAGCACTCTGCTTGTGGGGATGGTGACCCCAGCAGGGGGTTCTGCCTGTATGAAGGTCCTGAGGTGGGGTAGGCCTATATGCTCAGGGTAGTGGCTATCCCAGCTCTGGTGGTAGAGGTCAGATTGGAGCATTTTCAGACTGGTCAGTGCCCATAAGGTCTAAGGCCCACAGAAACAGAGGCCCCAGACATCACAAATGTGCACTTCTCTCTTCTGTGGCTAAAAGCCTGAAGAGAAAGAGGTGGGTTTTGGGAAAGGATGTGAGACTCATTAAACTCCAGGAAAAGCAGGAGTTGGGGTAAAAGACATTGCTGAGCCTCCAGCCCCAGCAAACCTTTCATGTGGGCATGAGGGCGTGTACCTGTGCACATTGGTAGAGCCCTTGGGTGGCATGCCTGAACTGAAAAATAAAAGCTAGCAGGGTGATTGGCTTGAATTTAATGGCTTGCTATACAAACGTGGGTCTGCACATACATTAAAAAGCCAGGTATGGCTGTGAGCCCCTCTCTGTAACCCCAGGGCTGTGGGCTTGCTGGCTGCCAGCCTAGCTCCAGGTTCAGTTAGAGACTGACTCAATCAGGTGGGTAGTGATAGCACAGGGCATCTGCCATTCATGTCTGTCCTCTGATGCATGCACAGGTGTACATACGCACACACAATTGAGTCAGGAGCGTGGAAACAGTGCAGCACAGAGTGGGGTGCTGTCTTTGGTGTGATAGACAGGGTTTGGAGGCTGGCAAACACAACAGAACCTTCTAGACAGTCAGGTGTTTGGTTAAATGATACATTTGTGTGATTGAAATCCTGTAACGATGCATGGAAATGGAACTCCCAACGCCATCGCTCAGCTATGGCCTCTGTCATTTATCAAGTCTCCCTGAGTGTATGAGTGCAAACAGCAATTTGGAATTCAGGCGGTTAGCGGCAGGAGTGTGGGTGACCCCAAAGCAGACATACTAGAAGGTCTGTACCCCTTGTGGATGACAGCTTTGCTCTGGCTGTGCAGATGGAGCCCTTTTCCGACTCCTTCTTAGTTGTGTCCGTCCTGTGATTCCAAGGCCACATACACTTAGGGCAGAGTTGCATACAGTGGCAGGGGCCAGTGGCTGGATGCTCATGTGAGGTCCCATGACCTGTTCTGGTCCTTCTCCTACAAGGGAACAGTCTGTAAGAAGCTGCAGCCGAGCTCATGAGGAGCATGGTAGTTGGGTTCAGATGATAGTCCTGTACCACATTCTATCTTCTGTGTGCCAGGATGACAGGTGTGCCACCATACCTGGTTTATGTGGTGCTGGGGATGGGCCCAGGGCCTCGTGTATGCTAGGCCTACTCACCAAGGCCCAGAATCAGCATGGGGTCTTAACCCTAGGTATATGTGAGTGCAAGGTAGGCACAGGTCTCCTCTGAGGGGGCTTTTGGTGGCACCTGGGTGGAGAATGAAGAGCTGTCACTATCTACAGTGTACAAGCCAAGGATGCTGTTGAGTATACAGTGATCGGTACC